TCCCCTCTCCCTCTCCCTCTCCCTCTCCCTCTCCCTCTCCCTCTCCTCTCTCCTCTCTCCTCTCTCCTCTCTCCTCTCTCCCTCTCCTCTCTCCCTGGAACCCACCACAGCCATTTTTTCAGAGCCATACAGGTGAGGTCAGCAACACAGGGCAAGCATCTGGCCCAAAGTCTCGCTGAACAATCCTGAAAACCCCAGTTTCTGGCCTCTCGGCATGACCCCGCTGCTCGCAGCACCTCCCCTCGCTGCAGTACACTTTCAGTCCTCTCCTTATGAAGGGAAACTAATTTTTCTTCCAGCTGAAGGAGTTCTGCCATTCTTAACTCCATCCCATTTTGGCACAAATCCTTCCTCAGATGTGGTCACACATATGGATTATATCCCATCTGTTTAAAGGTTTAAATGCCTAAACCCTTAATGTTTGGATAATAGACGGATACGGTAGCTTTGTTATTCCGTAGTTAGCATCTCGTTCTGCGTTGAGCTTCCCAGCTATTTAGCTTCTGAGCTCTCTGTATAATTGTGTGTAACCTTTAAATCAGAATGTTTAACCCCTTGATTTATGATCTTAAGCCCCATTATTCAGATGACTTTAACTTTTAATATCTGAGTGAGTACAGTAGGAGTCTTTCCAGAGCTCATCTGTAGCACGGCTCAAGCATCTGGCTTTCTGATCTTAAACTGGAATAACTTCCAGCAACAGTGCTGACGAAAAAGAACATTTTTTTTTTAGTACCCGTGACTTTTTTTCTTCTTCTTTACTCCCGTTTATATTGATGCTTGCCTTTTTATTCATCTCTTTTTTTTTTTTTTTTCCATTCCGTACCTTAGCTATTTTCTTGCCTTTTTGTAATGGTCCTGTCATAGGGATTTAATTTTCCCTTTGAAGACTGAGCATTTGGATAGGAAGAGAGGCGTGTCTGATGGAACACGAGCAAAAGTGCTCAGTGAGACAAGAACTGAGGCCCGTCAGAGTGTGACCTGGTGTTTCTGGATTTCTTGGTGGCAGTCTCAGGGTCTCCAGAGACTTCAGCCTTTGCATTTTCCCCTGGCTTGTGGGGCTGGTCTCCACGGGCAGAAAATTTAGGCTCAGTGAGGGAAAGTGCTTAGCCAGCTTGTGTCTCTGCTGCTTGTGTTGTGCCTATTTTGAGAGTAAAAGAGAAACCTCGTCTTCTAGTCCTGTCAGTCTGGTCCTTTTCCACCAGCACAAAATCACTAAATCCACTTCAAATATATATTTTTGTAAAGCCATTTGAAAGACTTAATGGACTGTGATTTTTCTCATTGTGGAAGAGCTGTAGTGAGACTGAGAGTGACACTTAATAGTCTGTCGAGAAAAGACGTATAAAAAAAACCCATCTACATTTTTTTTTTTAAGAGAACGGTGCTTTTGTTAGTCTGGTATTATTTCTGGCAACATCACCAGCCGTACATCGGAGTGGTTCAGACTTAACTTATATAAACAGTTTTCTGTGTGTTTACGTGAATGAATTGGTGGCTCTTCCTTTCTTTTTCTCTCAACCACCAGTGAATATCTTCCTGGAAAGTTGTGCTAGATCCCCCCTCGGTGGCTGAACTCCCTGATTTTTGCCCCCTGGTCCCCCTTGGCAGCTGCAGGTGCCAGGGCAGGCAGTGAGGGGTTGTGTGACTGTCTCATCGGGCAGCCGCTGAGATGTGACCCTCTCTGCTTTCCTTTGCACGCTCCCGTTGCCCGCAGCCATGTCCAAGTCTGCTGTCAAAATCTCTTCGGACCTGCTGTCGAACCCGCTGTGTGAACAGGAGCCTGGCTTTCTGGAGATGGTCACAGCCTTCGACACAGCGATGAAGAGGATGGACTCTTTTAACCAGGAGAAGGTGAATATGGATAAGGGAAACCAGGTTGTGCTGGGATGCTCTTAGTATCTCGCCCTTCCAGACAGATCCTTCCCTTTTTGTCATCATCCCCAAAATACTTCCCGCATGAGTTTCTCTATGATCTTACTCTTCTTCTGACTCTGATTGTACTGGGGATTGCAACTCATCCCGAGCCCATGGGAGAAGTTTGCTATTTTTTGGTTAAAGGGCATTGTGGTTGTGCTCGGAAGCCCTCATGATCCTATGGTAGGCACTGTGCAAACATGTATCCTTGTGCAAACAGGCTTTTTCAACAAGCCTGACATATAATCATCCCTTTTGCTTTCAACAGGTGAATCAGATCCAAAAGACAGTCATAGAGCCTTTGAAAAAGTAAGTACCACCATTGTCTCCTGAGCCATGTCGAGTGTTTGTCATAGCTGTGTGCTTTAGGGATGTGTATCACCGAAAGAGATGTTGCCAGGTTAGAAATCAGCCCTTCCTAAAGAGGTAAGAGTTCACATCCCTGTGACAAAATGGCATCCTTGGTGCTTTAGAGCCGGAGCACACAGAGCTGAGATGGTTTAGCTGAGTCCACACTCTTCTTCTGTGGCAAGGGTGAAGACCTCTTGTGTCTTAACCTGCCAGATGTCTTCACCTGTACTTCAAAGAACACCTGAGATGAGTAATTCTGAGCGTATTAAAGCGTTCAACTTCTCTCCCTTTACGTGTTGGTTACTACCAACACTTTGCCCCAGCCAGCTGTGGGCAGCAGGCCTGGCCCAGCCAGCCCAGGGTGGTGAGTGCTCAGTTGTTCAAACAAAGGTTTTGAAGTTTTCTACATAACAAAGTTAAAGCTCGCTTTTAGTGAAAGTTCTTTCATGTTTATAAATAATATATCAACTCAGGAAAGAAAGAGATGTCACAGAGCCATCATAGCTAGACAGTGAGGAGTGGGATGTGCGGGCAGATAAACCACCAGCATCCCCGGTCCCGGGGTGGGATGTCTCAGGCCCTGGAGAAGGTCTTGCAAACCTCTGCAGGAAGAGCTTCAGACCATGCCTGGTCTTGGACAGAAATCCTCATGGGATAGCAAGAGCAGTATTGTTCTGGTCACAGATTTCCATGTTTTCCCCCGTTCCTTGCTCCGCGGTGCCGGATGGTGCGTCAGGACTCAGTCCTGCCCCAGCACCACGGCAATTTTGTCACCAAGGTCTCATCCAGTGCAATTCCTCTCTGTCTGCACAATTTCCACCGACGTTCTCAGCCATTACCCGTGTCACAGGCTGTACCCCCTAAACGTTTAAGGAATGCTTCAGCTGCTGTGCCAAATGTCTGCTGAAATCCTGAGATTTGCTGTTTTGTTACAAGAACGGAGCAAGCGAGCGAAAATAAAATAAAATTACTTTAATATGACAGTAAGTGTTGCAAATTGCTGAATAACAATTTCAGTTTAGGTTTGACACAGGGTGGTTGTGGGTTTGTTGTTTTTTTTTTTTTAAGTTGTTGTTTCTACCCAAATCTGAAAGTAAAATCTCCTATACCACTTAGCGCATGAGGTTATAGTGTAGTTCTATCCGGGGGATGTTTGGTGACTCAAGTTTTTACCATGGTCGTCTATCCACGACCAGAAATTCTTGAATATTTAGAAAAAAAAAAAAAAAAAAAAAAAAAAAAAAAAAAAAGAAAGAAAGAATAAAAAAATCCTAGGCTTGTGCTGTGGAATTGTGTTGCTTATTGTCTAGATTGTCCTCATGAAAGATACATTAACTTTTTCTTCCAGCATTCTGTTAAAATTGGAAGAAGGGCTTGTGTCTCTGAAATCTTCATGTTAGCTTTTTTTTTTTTTTTCCCCCAACTTGTGTTGTCGCTGAAATGAAAGATAATACCTTTCCCTGCAAACCTTGCCTTGTGTTTTAAACCCTGGGCAGTGGACGAGGCCGTTAATTAAAGACTCTAAAGCCATTTCCACGTCAGCGGTGTCTTGCTCTGCGCTTGCTCAGTGCTCGGCTGCTGGTCTAGATGCTGGTATAGGAGGGGAAAAACCCCTTTCCTCTTGCTTTGGGTTTGAGGCAGCTGTGCAAGATCCCCTTCTGTGATTCCTGCCGCAGGGAGATATTGGGGAAATGGGAGTTTTGGAGGGCGCGGGGGCAGCGCTTTTACTGGGAGGTTTCATCTCAAGGTGTGATGCTCAACCCACCCATTATCAGTCTAGTCCTTAGCTAAACGTAAGGGTGTTTACTCCAACATCCTGGCTGTTTTCCAGTCTTGACAATTCTCTTAAACTTCCCAAATTTCCATTAGGCTTGAATATGGTATTTTTTTCCCTTCCTGCCCTTTGGCACCTGCAAACAGTTGCTGCGTGCTCTTAAACAGCTTATGTTTCATGCTCGGAGAGGCTGCATCTCCATGCCGAGCAAAAAAATGTTCTTTTCGTTCCTTCTGTCTGACTCTCCGCAAGCGTAAGGTACGTGCATGGCCGAGTCGTGCAGCCAGGAACATTTCTAAGGAGCCCAAGGGTCCATTTTGAGGCTAATGAGATGCAGGAGAGAAATGCAGAGCTTGCACCTCCCCTTGTCCTGCTGGCAGATAAACCCCAGCAACATTTCTAGGATAAAAGTTTCAGATTAATGAAAGCTGCCTTGAGGAGCTCTTCTTATTTCCAGTTAGGTATTGCTTCCCCTCGCAGAGACAGTCCTCCCTAGCCTCTCCCAAACTCGCTTTGACCTAGAAAAAGGCTTTTGCTTACAACAGCTGCACTTTATTACATCTTCACTGGTGGTCTTTTATTCTTTATTAGCCAAAGACACAGATAAGTGGAGTCCAGGCAATTAACATTAGGGGTAATATATTGTAATCAGAGGCACATGTGCAGTAAAATCTCCGTCCAGTTGTCCAGGGATAGTAGGTTTCGGACAAATACTGGAGAATTTGTTAAACCATGTAGAAGAAAGCAGTAGTAAATTTAGAGCGGGGTGGAGGCTCGTATTGTTTAAATCCTTCTGCTTCTGGGGACGCAGGGTTATTCAGAGTTTTGCTTTTTGAGCCCCAAGAAGCCCTTGGCTGGGAATCACTCATTTAACTTCGGGGAAGGAGCAAAGCTCTAGTGAGAATATTGCATATTTCAGCATGTGGGTTGGGCAAAGAGCTGGGGTGGCTGGGAAAGGTCAGGAGGGATCTGCTCGCCTCTTTGGGAGATGCCTGCATAAATTCACACCAGACCGGCAGATCTGGGGCAAGGAGGGAGAAAAACAGCTGGTTTTTACTTCACTCTTCCACTTCTTCCCTCTGGTTTGGGTGAGCAGTGAGGTGGATTGGCTGCATCGAGTGATAGACCGTGTCCTGTCGTCTTAGTATTACATATTGTGTGTCAGTAGTTAAGGAAGGAAGCAGCTTAAATAAGCCAGGTGGTTTGGAGATTCACGGGCTTTAATGCCTTTCACGTTCGGAGCCGATTTTCAGTGCGGCAGAGTCTCGATTTAACAAACTCTGGCTGTCTGAACCTCCCCGAGTGTCGGGATGTTGTGGTCACCCTGGTGCGGCACCGTCCCCTTGGCTCAGAGCGTGGCCCTGCTCGAGGGGCTGCTGGCCGGGGTGACACCCCAGGCGCTGCCACCTGGGTGCCATTGGCCGGGGCAGGGTGTCAGCGCAGCGGGAGGTCCTGGAGGTGCAATGCAGGAGCCCTTCACGGCAGATGGAGGTATAAATTCCGTTAGAGCTGTCTGTCAGCAAACATCTGTCAGCAGCAGCAACTAGTGCTTGGCATCCATGGAGCGGGGGGGTCTTCTCCTCCTCCTTCTCCTTCTCCTTCTCCTTCTCCTTCTCCTTCTCCTTCTCCTCTGTCTCTTATAC